TATCTCACCATCTGAGGATCAGAGACAAGGTACACCGATCGTGCAATGGTATACGTTGTACACAGAGAGTAACGTCGAGCCGCTCGTTTTGTACATATCTCTTAGTCTTGGTCACAAGTGGTCCTGCCCGATCAGAGTGGACCAAACTATGAGCCGTAAATCCGTCGTGATTCCAAATGGTTCCTCCACCATGCCGGTCATCGTGACAACGCAGGAAGACAAAGGCAGCACGTTCGTCGTGATACACAGCGACGATCATCCGCAACTGTTAATCGAGAACGCCTGCGGCTTCAAGATCTTGCTGGGACAGGCCGATGAAAAAGGGAATGAGATATTATCGGATAGTGTTCATTTCGCATGGATATGCGAAGTTGACAGTGGAGCAACGTCCCACTATTCTCTTCCCTGTGTCAGTAACAGACTACCCGACACTGCGGTACCGAGCACGTCGAATGTGTTATTTTCTACCGCGCAAAACGATGAAGCAGTAGGGAAGGCAAATTTAAAGTGGTCGAGAGGCATAAATCTGTCCGCGTTATCATTTACACCAATAGATCAATATCTGCGATTACCTTCGTATGGTGATGTAAAGCTTATAATGCATAATCGCTGCTACACCACTCACATAAGCATCGTGCCTATCTCCCAAATTGAAATATCTGCTCAAGACATTAGGAGCAGATTATTACGAAAAAAAAACACAGCGAAGGATCACGACATCATATACAATAATCCTCCTTTATTGAAAAGATTAGAAGAAGATAAGCTGTTATTGTACGTACAAAGTTCGAGTAGTTCAACGTCGTTAACGAGCTTCTTCTCGGCCCAAGAAGATATTTTGACGACGGAACAAATGCCCTTGAGCAATTCAAAGCAATTAGTTCCGAAGGTGACAGATATCAAAACTTGCACTAATGAAGATCAGTTGAAATCTACTGATGATACTAATTCAACTGATTCGAAGGAAGGCTCTGCAATTGTTTACCTACGTGCTTGCACTATCGTTATTCTTCATGATATCAATGAAAATGCGCAAAGGATCGAAGTCGCCAGCCTATCTATGACAGACTTAGTCATGACTGTAAATTCAAAAGCCCGATTTATTAATCTCAATTGTTACATAGGCGACTTGCAGTTAGATAATCAATTATTCGATCAGGGAGGTTTCGATTTTCCCGTAGTATTAATAAATCAAAATCCATTACCAAACAGAGAGATGGCATTTTATAGCAATAATTGTTTAATGACGAATATGGAGAAGATCAAACAAGATTCTTTAATAGTCATCGAATATGTTTGGGAAATAAACGAAAATATGATAGGTATATATTTTATATTTACACAAAATTACATTATTTAATAAAAAAGAAATATTTGGATAACAAAAATGTTTTTAAGCAGATAAATGTTATTTAAATTTAAATAATAAAGTCAAAGGACTGTAAACTGAGCTGAATTTTAATGCTAGTTATGTAATAACGCTTAATTCTATAAAGAAGTCATATCAATGATAGAAATATATATATGTTATTTATTTCATTATTAATAGTAGATATATTTTTTCTGTTGCAGCATCAAAGGAATATCGCATGAAGATTGCACCTATTAGTGCATACATTGAAGACACGTACATAACGCAATTATTAGATTACACGACTTCGATGATACCACCGCGATTGGTTCTGGGTGACAATCTTAAAAAGATGCAAACAATAGCTGCATTGAACGCAATGTACATACCAGAGTATATCATGATTGATTCAAAAATCTTAAGCAAGCCACTAAGATTGCAAAACTTTGTAATAGAACCGCTATCAATTTTGTTGAGCGTTCACACTTCTATGCGACTCTACGTTGCTTTAGATCACTCCCCACTGTACTTCGGTACCTTCGAAAGAAAAAATTTACTGACCACTCCTTACAGGCTTGGCAATGCACTTACCATGCATTATTTATCTGGCGCTATATTCGGAGCAGGTTAGTATAATATTATTTATACATTATTAATTTGATATAATAACAAACTAAGTAACGATCATTATTCATTTATCAGGTTGGGTAGTTGGATCATTAGAGATACTTGGATCACCGGGAGGTTTGGCGCAAGCACTTGGATCCGGTCTTAGAGACTTTGTTTCACTACCATTCCAAGGACTATTACAAGGTCCATGGGGTTTTATCGTTGGAATTACACACGGATCAGCCAGTCTAATGAAACACGTTACAGCAGGTATGCAAACTATTAATATTTATTTCTTATTTATATTTATTATTTGTTCCTTAATAAACAATTTATATTTCGCTTTGTGTATACAGGTACAGTAAATTCCGTGACGAAATTGGCGTCTAGTGTCGCACGAAACTTGGATCGACTAACATTAGACGAAGAACACCTTCAGCGACAAGAAGAGTCACGCAGAATGCGTCCACAAGGCATGGCACAAGGACTTTATCAAGGCTTAACTGGTCTTGGAATGAGTCTGCTTGGTTAGTAATTGCTTAAAAAATGTTTTTCAGAGAATGCAGTAACTAAATGTTAATTGTTAATCAGCGGCTGTGGCGGGTTTGGCACATCATCCTTTGCAGCAAGTATGGTCAGGCGAAGCGACGACTAAAAGTTTGGTTACCGGAGTCGGACTCGGCTTAGTTGGCGTCGTTACTAAACCATTGAGTGGTGCCGCGGAGTTAGTTGCTCTTACAGGTCAAGGATTACTGCAGGGAGCTGGATGGAATTCATTACCCACGGTAATAGATATATAAAATGTGATGAGTAAAATGTGAAACTATATTTCTATAGTTTTACATTTTACTCTTTCATAATAATTTTCCTGTTTTTGCAGCCACGTCAGAGACCAATTGTGCAGTACACTACTGGCAATAATAGCACATCTGTACGGTATACCTGGCGCTTATCACCTTTACTCGATCATAGTCACGACAGTATCCTTCACGTAACCAGCGCAGACTATGTGATTCATCAGGGCAGTAATCGCGCAGTGACGCTCGTCCTCACACGACAAGCTTTATTACTCGTTAATATGGCGGAGGACAGTGTAGAACGGATATTTTCGCTGAAAGAACTGACAAGCGTCGATCATATTTCGGAATCGACGATGTTATGCTTATATTGTCCACCAACAGCAATACAATTGAGCAGACCATTATCACCAGCTGAACATGAGGTAAAATACTGAATCCACGAACAAATCAAAATAAATATAATAGGTTTTATAATGTTTTTCTTTTTTTCTTTTTTTAAGATGAATCAAGAAATGAGAGCACGAGTTGAGGAATATGTGCGGACAAGCAGCACTGGTTTGGCCAGTGTATCAACTAATAGCGATAAACAGTCTGATACCTTTGAGAGAACATCCCCACACCCAGAACATACACTTACGTTTTACGTTTGCCCAGACACTCGTAATTATTTATTATCGCTATTCAACGTTGCCAAGCGACAAAATCAAGGTTCTGGTTTCACCGTTTTATAATCAAGCGTATCTTCAGACGATTATAATTAAGTACAATGACTGAGAAGATATTCCAAATATTACTGTATGTCAAAACAAATGAATTCAAACTTAATAGTCTTTTGAATATTGATGTGCATCTTACTTTTTAAAATAATGTTCCAAGTTTATGAAGCAGTAATATTATAATACGCGCAAACAGTATTATAATTAAAAAGAAAGTAATTCCCAAAATTCCAACGTAAACATAATTAAGATCTCAAAATGTTTGTATTCAAATGCCCATCTTCACTTTTATTAAAATATATTTGCACGACTGGCATTTTTGTTTTGTATATAAGAAATATACAGAATACTTTATAACATATGGATCACATTCTAGCAATGAACAGGGGACACAAAAACAATGAAAAAGAATATAAATATGTATCTTAATTTGACTTTGTTTTAGAGTTTACTATAGTCATTTTTGTACTCCAGTAATATGCAGCTATTTAAGAGATGTTCGAAATGATTACAGTTCTAACATTGCTATCTGATATTTGCTTTTTAAACAAACTTGTATCTCGTAGGCGTTCATGTAATTTTAGAACTATTTTATCTAGTAAATATCTATTTATAAAATACGATCCGCGTATAAACGTTTTGCTTCGAATGAATTACATTCGGCAAGTCCATATATCAAAAGAATGTTTACTATATTTCTTGAGAAAGATTTGAATTTATTCATAATTACTTTCAAAACTCACATCAATTTAATGAATTATTAAGTGCTCCAGCAAGAGAACAAACTGAATTAAGTACACTCAAAATATATGAAATCAATAAAATTAGGAAATATCTAGCACATATCGCGAGCATTATTTATAAGTATAGATAAATACAGAAGGTAGCCATTATGAACATTTTCTACAAAGACAAACAATTGCACACATTACTGAAATACAAAAATAACTATAACTCTAAAACAAGGTCAAATACATGTTTATATTTTTTTTTTCATTAAAAACTGTTTCATTAAAACCTTCCATCTGCTGCTAAAGTGGGACCCATGTTGTAAAACACTCTGTATGTTACTAATTTATAATATATAAATTTTTTTTTAGCATATGAACTAAACAAAGTATATAAATTATGTAAAATATTTATAATAATGTTACTTATTTAAAAAAAATTCAGGACCATACACACAAATTAAGAAAATTACCTTTATTTCCAACTTATCACATACCATTTGAACGATACAAAAAATTAACTTTACATACATTACTTATACATATAATTGTACATATACACTTATATATATATAATGACAGCATAACTGTACATGAATACAAGTTATGTTGGATGTGCCAAAATATTGCAAACTAATTCTATCGCTCGAAATTGTCATAAATTATGTAATATTGATCTAACGCGATTTAATGTATTATAATAATATATTTTACATACCGTTAACAAAATCTGGCATAAACTAAATACTTAAAAAATTGAGTTACAAACGTGATTGATTTATAAACATTTCCCTCTCTCTCTCTCTCTTTTTCTCTATTCATTTAAAATATTGTCATAAATTCGTTCAATCTCGCATGATTTATATGAAAATCCACAAGATTTACACCGGTTATTTTTAATAGATAATAATATTTGTCTACATACTACATGTTTACATGGAAGTCTATAAAAAATACTGTTAATACAACATTCACATTTATTACATATTTTATGTAATTCTACTTTTTCTGGTGTGGTAAAGCGTTTCATGTTGGATAATTGAGTCTTTAAATTGCTATCTAAGAAATTATCATCAACTAATTCATCATCCTTATGATTTTGAGAATTGTTATGAGTTAATTTGGAGAAAGTTGAAACATTTGTGAGCTGTCTTGGTTTCATTATAGTAATGGCAGGTCGTTTGGGCATAACTGCTATAGGTAATTTATGGTAATATTTTTTCGTAGACTGCGAATTGTTACTTGTTGTCTGCTTGTATGTATTCGATTTAATATCTTCGGCAGTTCTTTTTAAATTTCTATTTAATACACATTTTGGTATTTCAATTATTCTCCTATTTCCTGCTATAGCTGAAGTTGGATCGCGGCCTAAGACTCTTGGCATATTCTTTATTTCGTTCTGATTGCTATTGTCCATTAAAAACTTGTCAATTCTTGACTTAAGTGCAGATGCCATGACTGGTCTACGTTCATCGTTAAATCCCAAGCCTGTGAATGGATCTGATAACGATCTACCCCAAGTTGCTTCATTCTCTTCATGTTTCTCTAATGTGGTTAGATCTATTATTTGTCCACAAGGTAATATAATTGGCTGAGTCATTATTTCCCAAGTGATAGGATCTAGGAAGCTTTCAGGAATATCAATGGTTGTATTATTCTTCAATCTGCATATGTATAAAAAATATTTATATTAATAGTTAATATTATGTAACTTATTATATAATTATATCACTTGCTACAACATAAGTCAAAAAACAAGATTTCCAGAAAATGATATGTTTTAAATTATTAAAATTTTGTGATTTTAACTTTGAAATACAAGTTTGATACAAAAAATGATTGTAAAGGAATAAAAATGTATATTTTAAAAAAATGTTTTTCTTTTTTCCTTTATGTTTCTATTCTTTTTTTAATTACATTATTGCAAATAAGCAATATAATTTCTAATTTATATATATGTACCTATTATCTTTCTCTTTGGTATCTACAGAAACAGTATTCACATATGCTTTTGATGCAGTTACAGGCAATGTTGAGGAAACTCGTTGTTCAGCCCATAAAACATGTACACTTGCTGTAATATCTTTCCCACAACGTGGGGATACTGTTCCCCATACTTGAACTTTTCCCAATGCTGGTACTGAGTTCTCTGTTTTATATATTGTTATACGTAAAACATGAACATACTTAGTTGTTACAGATCCTTTAGAAACTTTAATACAACATCTCAAGAAATTTGGTGGCGTGGGGATCCCTGTAGGGTCAATGTCACTCGAGTAAAACAACAAACCAGCATCATGAGAACTCAGGCATCCATTAGACACACAGGTATATGGAGTGTTATCATCATTGGTATTCTTAAGAGAAAGCTGAAAGCCCGACGACTTTTGTGACCCGACGGATGGCCAAATTAATACATGATTGATACACACGTTGCAAAGAAACGTGATATCTATATGAATGGGTGGCTTGATGCAGGAATATGCCAAATATCCTTTATAGGAACCATTTATCAAATTGGTCACTTCATGCCCATCCGTGCTGATAGCACTACATTTAATTTCTGGACGTAAGCGAGGATCACAAAAATTCAGAAGCATCTTTCGTTTATTTGTAGATCACTGATGATATCTACAATATTATAAAATGCATCCGTTCAATCAATTATCACAAACAAATCACCGACAGCATCATACATACGTTCAAATTTAAATAACATGAATTTTCAATGTAGTAAATACAATCAGATAGATCAGATGTGATGATCAGGTGTATATATATATATATATATATATCTATCTACGAATATCACAACTTTTCTTTATCATTTTTCATTCACATTATGTATTAGTGAGATATTACTACATAGTACTCACGTGTTCTTCTTTGTTATGTTCTATCCATGAAGGAAGATATAAGGAGACTCCACTCAATACTGTGACTCAGTCTCGCCAGTCTACAAAATATGGAACCATTTTAGGTTTCGAGTTCAGTTTCCGATTCTCGACACTCGCAGCGCTCGTGAATTTAGTAGTGTTTGAGTGCGAGTAAGAGAAATGATCATTTCTCATTCGCACTCATTTATGCGCAACACTACTAAATTCACGAGCGCTGCGAGTGTCGAGAATCGGAAACTGAACTCGAAACCTAAAATGAGTCCACTTTGATTTTACAGAGTGGAGTCAGTCTCCTTATATCTTACTTCCTGGCCTGCGTTCGGAAACATCACCCGAGTACCTCTGTGTATCGTCTTATCCTTGTTGTTCACCCATGTTAAACGAGGATAAGACGATACACTGAGGCACTCGGGTGATGTTTCCGAACGCAGCCTGGTTGCAACAAATTTGTGACCTGCAACGTCTACGATACGACCAATGTAGAATGGGCTTAAGAACTGACTATGAATACCGGCCTTAGTGTCTAACTCTCAATATGGCGCCGCTTATTGGACGCGTACGGTGAAAAATTGTTTACGATAGCATACGATAGTACGTTGAAACACGTGCATTATTCTTTCTTTTAATTAAACGTATTACAAAATATGCAGGAAACTGTTAAAATGGAGATCGATTGTAGCGTGGTGAAGAACGAAAACATCGATGTTCCAGAAATTAGTTATGAAGAAAAGCTACGATTTGTGAATGCTATTTCCAAACCCATGGCACCAAAGAAGTTAACCAAAAAGATTTATAAATGTATAAAGAAAGGTGAGTGTTACTTCGATATTATTTAATAATGTCAATATTTTTTACAACAATAACTTCATAATTCATAATATATATACTTTATAGTATACAATAAAATAATTTAAGTAATTTTATTGTACAAAGTATATCTATTAAGATAAATATTTAGACATGAGCAATTATATGTGAACAATTTTTATTTATTTTATATAGCATCCAAACATAAAACTTATTTGCGTAATGGTTTAAAGGACGTACAGAAACATCTTCGTAAAGGTGAAACAGGGTAAGCCTTATTATTTACCCTATTGAATATTGTATGTTGAGATATTACGTAATTTCTTATTTTAGTTTGGTTGTCTTTGCTGGAGATGTACACCCCATAGATATTATGTGCCACTTACCAATTGTATGTGAAGACAAAAACATTCCCTACTGTTTTATTCCATCAAGAATGGATATTGGTACAGCGATGAGTATGAAACGAGGTTGTCTTATGGTACTCATAAAGGAACATCCTGACTATAAGGAACTCTATGATGAAATTAAAGCTACAATGAAAACACTTTCTTCGCCTTTATAGATTTCTAATAAAATAAATATGTTTATAATAAGCATTTATGATATTTTATTATATGCATATGTGTATATATATATATATATATATATATAACAGCTTTAAATTTTAATGTTATTCAAAAACAGTTATACAATATGAGAAAATATTTATAATTGAAATTCTAACTGTCATATTAATGATAATTTTATTTGTGTATAAAGATTGTAAAAAAATAATTCTTAATATTCTATTATTCACAAGATTTTATTATTTAAGATTATAGATTAGTAAAAAATGTTTTTATACATAAATTCCCTATTTTAGATATATATTAATACTTGAGAGTATTTTACTAATGTGGTAAGATAAAATAATTAAGATAATAATTGCGCAGATAATTGAGATTTTAATTTACATTGAATAATTATATCTTTCAAGGCAGTTATTCAAGTTTAATTTGATGTTATAATTCTTCACACAATACGAAGTTTACAAAATATTTTACATATTAAAATATAAATATCTAAAAACATACATTAAAAAAATTTACTTCAAAAAATGTAGATTACTCAGCATCATAATAGTTATGCAAAATAGTTCACATTTTAATGAAAGAACGTAAAATTTTATAGTCATGACATATAATTAAAATTATTTAAAAGTCTATCTGCATGGTAAAGTGATTCTGAATTATAGTTGCAGCATATTGTAAAGAAATCTATTTATTCATGAATGATGCGGAAGGACATCCTGTGCCTCGAATGAGATTATTCGTACAAATAACACAGTCGTATCTGCTAGATATTTATCACGCCAGTACGCAAAAATAGTGCGTGGTATTGTGTATAAATATATGTTACATATCGTGAAAAGACTATTATCACCCCTCAAGGTAGATGAGCGTAGAACGACGATTCGCATTCGCGCGCACAGATTGAATCGAAACGCAGAGAAGTACAGTTCGATCGATTAGGGAAGTGCGAAATTTAATAATCGTGGATTGTCGGCCGATCGTTTTCGAACTACGTTCTTCGCGTCTTCGTCTCGCGTTCTTATATACCTTAAGATATCGCTGAACTAAATTTTCTCTTACAATTACGGGATATAAGTCGTATTTAGTAGCTAATGTTACTTGTCCTCGTTACATCGACAGCTATAAAAACCTGTATTTCTCCTTTGGATTTGCATGGATGTTCTTTCGATCATAGATGCATAGTAGCGTGCGTAATAGCAGAATATTGCAAGTCGTGTGATAATTATAAATATAGAGTGATGGAAAAATTAATTAATATGAAATGTACTAGTTCGGAAGAAGATTTAAAATTGTAATGCAAACACAAATATGTCGTAATATGCGTTTATCTATTTTATATTTCTGGACCACTCAAGCAGCACTTTTATAAAGGATTTCAAGCAAAAAATGAATAAATTTTGATATTCACATTCACGTTTTCCATTTTTTGTTTTTGAAAAGTTATTTCTAATTAAAATAGATTAATTTCTTGGCATTAAGACCTTGTTCACATAGCCCTATTTTATTATTATTAAATTAATTATTTTTATTTTTATTAAATTTATTTGTCCAGACAATTAAATATTTTTCTATTAATTTTTTTCATACTTTGTACTTCATGAGAAGAGAAAGATATAAAAAAAAACTATATAAAAAGAAAACCAAAATTATATGTATACGCAGAGTAAAAGCTATTAGTATGAGAAATAAAGAAAAGAAAGAAAATGTTATATTATTTTTATAGATAGAAAGAATCTGCGCATTCATAATTCTAATCTAGAGCAGTCTCAATATAGCATATAAAATGTTTATTCGTCATGAGATCGAAAAGCCCTGTTTCGCTTTCTCAATTAAATTGGAATGAGTTAAACTCTTTTTCCCAATCATACAAAAACAAAATATCACAGACAAATATATCTTGCTATGTGATTAACAATTATTATGTAGGAACACGCGAGTTTAGAAAAATGAAGCATTTGGTATTTGGTGCCTGATGTTAGAACTTCATTCATCAGAAGATTATTGTTTCTCATAAAAGAAAAAATTAAGAAAAAGTATACTAATATATCTATGAATTTGATAGTTTATCTCAATTTATAAATTAAAATTAAAACATAACACATGGTTGGCATATAGGAACACGTAAAAAGGAATGCAAAATGAACGCAAGGAGTAATGAATCAAAAAGCAAACACGGATGATCTGATTAACATTAGAACCAAAGTAATTAAAATGACTAGTTCGTAACTTTTCTCAAATTTTTGAAATCGTAATTTTTTAAATATATTTTCTAAAAGATTTCCGTGATTTTTGTTGCAATATATGTAAATTATTAAATCGAGATCAATTTTTACTTTTTCCCTTATTTCTTTTTCAAAAATAGATATATGTGACAATATAATTTAGATAGAGTAGAAATAATATGGTAGTCATCGCTGTAATTCTGGTGTTAAACGATTTTAAGTTTAGTGAAATAGATAAATCTCGTAAGTGTATGATATGCGCGAGAAAAATTTAGATTTATCAATTTTTTTTGTCGAGAATTCATTTCAATAATGTAACATTGTTTTTATAGCCGCGATTCCACTACGAATAGTATTTTTATGTATCTAAAAATCCATGAAATTCGCGCTTGTCGATTTCCCGCATGGAGTAATTTCAAGTCATTTGTTCTGAAATTAGTTTCGAAAAGCAAATAATAAGCATAGCTCAGTATAAATATAAATTGAAAATTTTGTTTGGACGATATTTGAAAGGTTTGATGCCAGTCCTAATATATAAAAAAAAAAGTGGAAGCTTAGCCGCATTATACATTAAATAGACTACATGACACTTTGCATTATAACGGTTGAGACACAATGGAAGGAATAAGAAATAAAAAATAGCATTTCAATCTATCAGAAGCAATCTATCTATATTTCGGTAGCTCTGATGGGTTGAAATTGATCATGTTCTTTATTTTTTATTTCTCTTTCATTATGTCCGAGCCCTGACTTATTCGTTCAGTACATATATAATAATGCCCGGTTATTTATAATTATCTCATACATTTTCATGCCTATGACGTCATTGAAGCGTTGGAGGGAAAAGAACAAAGGAAAATAATTAAAGTAAAAATTAAAGCATTATATGTATCTGATTATGTAACTGATTATATCGTTCTGTCTCATCTCATATTGCTTCGATAACGTCGAGGGTATAATTGATTAAATTGATTTTGCGAAGAAATACGCTTCTGATCCTTCTCGTTTTCCTGTTTCACGCTGTCGCTCGCGAGGAAATCACGCGCCGAATCCTTTGGTGTATTTCGACTAATCTATCAATATGATCGCGCTTATTAATCCTACTCTCCTCCATTACCAGTATAAAATGTACACACTTATGGCTAGATATACGTATATATGTATATTATATATATATATACACATTAGCGACGAAGAGGACACATTGACATCGAAATTGACGTAGCGTACAAGTGGGACGTTGTATTCTCATCGCATCTCACCTCCAGTTACGCCGGAGATGTTTCCTACTCTTCCACATCTCTTTTCGCTTAAACATAATTCTGTTATAGATCGGGCAGTAGCGCGACTTGTTGCGAATGCGTGTGCAGCGACGAAATGCCTTTCGGCCTCCACGTAGAAGAATTATAATGAATTGAAATAAATTGGAAATGAAAAGCACACTTTATTATATTTTCAGAACCTTTAGAAACCCAGTTAGCAAAATGTTAGCAATTGCCTACAATTTGCTAGCAAATTTCGATCAAACATTTCAGTAAATTGGCATCAACTATATCCGTATTAAACTTGTGTCTTCCTGATAAAGCTTATTCACATAATGTGAAAGCAAATAAAAACCAAGGCATAAAAACCAAGTAAAGTTTTTACTATCAATTTTTGTCAATAAAACTTTACACAGTTTTTGGCCAACAATCCATTTTCAGCAAATTTTATTGTATATCTACTATCAATTTAATAATATCGTTGTATATAACAGTTTGCATTAAATTTGATAGTAAAATTTTTGTATTTGATAAAATTTGTTTTCCACAGACTTGGCTCACTGATTATAGATAAGAAAGAATAACCTTCTCGTTCTTAATTCATTGTGTTACGTCCCTAAAACTTCCCATGTAGCACAACTGATTTATTTGAAAATTCGATAAGTATAATTATATATATTCACCTGCTTAAATTTTTTACGAATTAGCGTAATCTGTTCAAAAGAAACTTAAAAAGAATTCAAAAATACACATATACAAACATATTTATATGCATATTTGTTTATATTATTTTTAATTATCTTTAATAATAAAGGTAATTAATAAAGTAAATAAAAATACTATTTCATTTACTCTTAAAAATCAAAATATGATTTATTCTTATACAAAATTAAGAAATAGAAAAAGCCTAGAAAAAGAAAACCTTTTAAATCTGAAAAGAGCTCACAATTGGTGATGTAAAAATGAAATCTTTTAGGAAACGAAATACTTAAATATTTAAACGAAATACGAATTCATTCGTAAATTGGAAATAAAAGAAGAATTATTTTCGGACTCTCTGTGCTATCTGGGTTTCTTCTCTATTCATTTTCCGCATTTTCTTTTAATATCTGTCTCGTTTTTGTTTCACCTTTCTTTCGTACATATATGTATTACATATATGCTTTCGTAAGGCATAACTCATTCATCCTTTTACTACCATGTCCACTCCTAGCAAAAATAAAAATCAGATCGTAAGTCGAATGTAATATAAGAGGCTTTATTTACATAACAAAAAACAGGCCAATGAGAGTAAAACGCAAATCGTAATGTGTAGTAAATTTTTTTTTAACAAATAATAATTTATAAAATTAATATATACATTTTAAATATAAAATTATTTGTACGTTTCGAGTCATTCTCTTTCAGAAGTGAACATAAGATATTCAAATAACAAATTACATTCCCCGTAAGACTGTTAAATGATTAATCACTCCTACATGCATGATCCAAAGTGAAATGTGTTTAATTAGTGTTGCGCGATGACAAATATCTGTCAAACTGCACAAAAAAATATGTTAAAGATGTGTGTTAATTGTCAGTTCGCATTGTTTGAAATGTATTACTTCATTTACAATACATTTTACTGTCTCAATTTTCATTTCCTAGAAATTTCGTTTACGCTTCTGTTACTCTTTTCTTAGATCCGAGTTACATTTTGATTTTTATTTTCGTCAAGAAACGACAGCGAGTCGATCGAAAAATATAAGAATAATTACGCGAACGATCGGAGCTAACGAGTATCAAATTATTAACGGTAATCCTTAACACCGATTATAGCTTAACTATTACATGTTACGACTATCGTAAACATTGTTAGTTAATAACATTGTCGTTAACATTGTTATTAATGTTAGTATCACTATTACGCTAATCCGATCGTTACGGTCGGACAGAATTACATTTTCTTCGAATGTGCGCAAGAATTATTTTTATAAAATACTCCCTGAAAAAAGCATGCGAAGAAATTCAAATTTATCTCTCATCTTCTCCCACCCTCTATCTCCCTCTTTCTTTCTCGATTTGCCACTTCATTAATTCGGCTGGCACAACAAAATTAGATTAGAATCCAACTTTGCTTGGAACAGTTTTATACTTACGTTATCTCGATGCGAGATTTCATCTTACAATAACGTGTAAAGATAATTAATAAAATAATTCTCGCAATCAGATAAAATATTGCCGACCGAAACGCGGATGTCTTTCGTGGGCGAGAAAAATAGGAAGCATTACCTTATCTAGGTCCCTAAAAAACTAGTACACATTCCTTACAAACATAATCGTCTCTCTCTCTCTCTCTTTCTCTGTCGCTATTTGTATGATAGATCTCGTCGCTGCCGCGATGACAATAATGATAGTGTCGTCGCAGCAGTAACTCATTATCATAATCGATATGTTGATGCGACTGCAGCGATATTTAGCATTGATCAGTTCCCTCTCTTCGCGAGAACAAATAAAGTTACAGCGATCTAATGCGTGCAACTGCGAGTCGTCATTGCAAGTGGCGTGAGAAGTTCTATGTGAAACTTTAAAAAAGGAAATAACGATCTTCTTATTTATTACAGATCGTACAAATGGGACGAAGGAGAGGCAGAACTTATCGCCGCGCACTTTCTTCGTAAAGAGTACAAATTTGCACAAATTTTTACACGGCGCGGAACATTTGCATCGCGTATCTCTTAAACACTACGTACCTACCAGTCTTGGGCGTCTTCGAGTAAACAGTGAGTAATCACGGTGTAGAATATCTAAACTATCACTTTATGTATATAATTAAACTATCGTTCGGACAACACGGAGACGTTTAAAAAGGACGTCGCGATAGAGCAGGACGACCCCTGGACAACCTTACAATAACTTTCAAACTACATTTAATAATCCATGTCTCCGTCCTTCCTTGCATTAATTTAGTCGTCGCTATCTATAAGGTGACAGTTTCAGTATTCTACGTACATTAATGTGTGTAAGTGCTACTTACACTTTTTGACCACTATGTAATTTATATTGACCATCTCGTAAGTTTTCTATTTAACGAGAGTCTTCGTTTACTTTCTCCGCGGTATATTTTCTCTTGAATAAAATGCCACGAATTTCCTCATGCAATAAAAGTGGCGTCAATAGATTTATATTTTCGCTTACTTTTAACATAAAGCTCAACTTACGAGGCCCTTATAGAAATTTAATACAGAAAGGTATTAAATTTCGGTAGTAATTAATAACTTGAGCACTAAACAATAGCATTTTTAATACTAACATTTAATCAAAATAATTAATCACTACTTTTTAATATATTACATCAACTGGTATCAAATTTCATTTCTGTGACGCATGAGAGAAAATATGAACAAAATAGTAAGATAATCCAACGTTATAATTACGAGACTCTCATCAAACATGTTCTGTAAAAATGAATATCTCCTAAGTGGCCAATGCATCTCGAAATGTGTCGTTTTACCTAAGTATATCCGTAAATGCCCAACACTGTTATACCGTAAAATAGCGAAGAATCGATCGACTCTTTCAAAGTCTATCACGTTCTATCCATTTTGTGACATATACGACAGCATTTTGGCTAATTGCTATTGACTGCCGTGAAGCACTAGTCTGACAATCTGCTGATAACTCCCTGTCCTATTGACATTATTGAAAAAAGTCTGATAATCCAGTCTGGTAATATCAATTCTAAATAACAGTTATTAAAGCTTTGATGAAATGTCAATCAAACGTTCAATTAATGTAACCAAACCTAACTAAATACTATATAATTTTACTTTTTTAAACATCCTACTTTTCTAATTCGATTAATTACTATTATTATATATATATTTGTTAATCTTTTTAAATATTGTATTCCAATTCGTTAAATAAAATACATTTAGGTAGCTATTACCAGACTTTTTTTCAGTGTAGTTATAATAAATAGCAATAATAGATTATGTTTTATTCGCGTTGCTTGAAATTTCCAAAAATTTTTCGCTTTAAATGAGATAAATGTATTCGAATATTAAAAAGAAAAAAAAGAAGATTCTAAGTGCGAAAGTGCAAATAACGCGAATAGATCTACTGAAACGAGGAACGTGATCGACTTTGTTGAGTTTGACTGCGTTTGCACAATACCGCTTATTAGTTGCGCTACTAACTAAAGCTATTGCTCGTTTCTTCAGTCTAACACGCATCGATGACAAAACGACTACCTTACGCATGCCGTGCGTTCCGTTTCTCTTAATTTAAACAGACATCGCGCGTATTTCTGTTTAAATATTCGGAATTTCACCTTTCCTCGCTTTCGAAATATTACGTACGCATAATAATTACCGCAATCGTCAGTGGATCGCGGATGATTGTCGTAATAATCGCTGGTCCACGGAGGGAACGCAAAAGATTCATACCGAAACGACAATCATACCGTGATCGATGCTCTTTGCCTCTTATTCTGTAACTTAACGACATCGTTATATTGTCATTGCGCAGGTTTTTTACTTTCTAAATTATTTGGAGGAGAATCTCTCTAAAGAGTGACAATTGAGCCAATCTTAAAAAAGAACGGTTCAATCTTCAATCTTTAACAGATTTCACTCTAAGAGAGTATATATGGTAAAGATGCTGCGCGCAACGACAATGTAATGACACCGATGCTGTTGTTAAAAATTACAGAATGGGGACTTAAAATACACGACCGTCGCCGTGTTCTCTAACAACGAAATTGAAATTTTGCATCGGCGAAGGCGGTGATACTTGCATGATGCAAGCGCGTTGCGTTGTATTCGCGAATTAAAATTATGTACATACAATCAGAGACAACAAAGTGTGGACGCTCAAGCCTATAATAATTTATTTCCTCACTTAATCGACGATCCCAATTACATATGTGGAAAGACATTAAATATCGGCAAACGTACGCATATACAAGCTTATCATATACAATGTGATTTCGTTAACCCTAAGCATTCCTACATAACTACTATACTTTAACTAGTCTCTTCACATTCATTATTCTTCATGTCTTTCATCTAGTGTCTTGATATGACTTTATACTTTTCATATGGAAGTACTTTTAAAATTCTATGACTAAAATAGAATAGGAATAGTTGACTTTAATCATTACATATATTTTTTTCTTTTCTGATATACGACAAAGAAATAATACATTTTCTACTCTGTTTATCTTTTCTACTTCTTATAGATTGCCATTTCTTTGAGATGTTTGTACATACGTGAAATGATTAATTTATGTTTATGGATATGTTTATTCGCACCAATCGTTATTTTGATAAGGAAAAATACGAATTAAATGAAAGTGAATTGATCTTTATTCATATTGGCATCCACACTATTTTGTTTCTGAATGTACATATACATTCCGGAATATCAACGCGCAAATAGAGAAAGTACAAAGTCTCCCCTCAAAACACGAAGTGCTCGTTTTATTTGCGGAAGATAGAAGTATATGTGAATTGCATCGCGAAAACTCCGCAGATCCACGTATAAAAAATTCGTGGAAACATTTACGGATACTCGCGATGAACTCGGTGTGTCTATCGGCGGCATCGAGCTTTTTAAAAATGCACGGCGCGAAGAATGATTCCGTTAGAAAAAAAGAGAAATCACATATGAGATAGGGAGTAGGACTCAAGACTCGACCTTGACGAGCTAAAATCGAATGCTTCCCTTATCTAGCCCTAATAATCGGCTTTCGTCGCGTGATTATTAGTATTGCGTGTTTTTCACGTGTACGTGTGTGTGTGTGCGTGTGTGTGTGTGTGTGCGTGCGTGCGTGTGTGTGTGCGTGTGTGTGTGTGTGTGTGTGTGTGTGTGTGTGTGTGTGTGTGTCTTTTATTTACCCACATATATATATATATATAGAAATAAAAATATTATAATATATATATTATACATACACATACATATATATATTGTAATATTTTATTTATACGTATATACATTTATTTCCATGCATATAATATTACATATATATATAATAATATTATATATATACAAATAAATAAATGTATATATGTATATTATACATATATTTAGATGTGTGTCTCGTGCGTTTACGCGTAGTCTCTTTGGTGTCTTGCAGTCCGCTTAAGTATAAATCTGTAGCAGTATCAAAATGGTAAAAATAGTGCATATGAAGACCATGAGCACAGGTAGGACCAGGATGAATCTGACGGAGCGGCTGAGGCCGCTTGGTTCCTGTCATACAGCTTGCTCACCGGACTCGGTCGAGGCGTCGAAGAGCGGCCGATCTGCCGGCGTCTCACTCGACGTCGTCGACTTTGTGCCTCCGCTGCTTTCGGCGTTACCCTCCCGTCTGGTTTTACTCGAGCCCGAGAAACACAGACAGCCAGATTGATTGCGATTCCGCTTCAACGTCGGCTTGTTCTCGCGTACCTGCTCCGCTAAACACTTCTGATAGTAATCGTAGTCCTTCAAATACCTATTAGAGACAAGTTGTGATAGTATCAAAATAAAGAACTCATCGATAATGTTTCTTGATTGAACTTATTACATAATATTTAATTGATTCGGAATAATAGACGGAATTTATTATATAAAAATTATATTGTTTACTTATATAGAAATTTACTTACATAAAAATAGAAGCAACGATGTTAATAGCATGAATCGTAAAGAAAAAGTTATAAGGAAAAAAAAGTTTTCTTCTATTGAAAGCAAATAGTAGAAAGAGTTGTTAGATCACCGTGATGCGTACCAGACCGGCGGCCATCGGTGCTCGTTCAAATACTCCTGGTTCTCCGGATGAAGCAGCCGCACGCTGCGAGGTGACATTTTGCATAGCTTATTATAGTTAACGCACAGATGATTCATGCACCAGTCGGCCAGCTGATCGGCATTATGCAGCTGGAAATCATAACTGAGCGTTAAACGGGTACCGCTCTACCACTATTATCGCGTCTTAATTGATGTGAAACACGTCAAGGAAACCGACCTTGCACGGCTCCAACAGCCTCAGGCAGTTTTCCACAGCGTCGTTCCCCTCATTTTGCGAAAGCCGTTCAAGATCTTCAATCACTCTGCTCTCGACTAAATTGACCAATCGTTGAAGGCAGAGTCTATTGGCTAGTTCCAATAGGTTCAGGCATCTGACCGAAGAGATCGCTGGCACTTCGTCCGTGTAAAGATAGCAGAGTAACTTGTGGAATGTGTACTCCCGAACCCCAGGAAAGACTATCTGTCGTTGCGATATGATTCGTATTTATTATTTGTATGACGAACCATTATGCCTAATTTAAATGAATTCTTTAAAATTACTTTGGTGAAAAATAAACGTACAATATGTTTAGGATAAATCTTTTCCCAATACTATTACGCATAATCATGCCAATGTTTGATGCAAAACAATGTCTGAAATTATCTTAGTCTAGATTTAAGAATTTTTTATTCAAAATTAAAATAATAAATATGATTATCCCTATATTGATCTTTATTTTATGATAAATCGAAAAGTAACAGTATTAAATCCGGAAATCTTTCTACAGAACATCTTTTTTTTATATTATATATGAGTTTCGAAATACATATATGTATATATATTCTAAAATCTCACACACATACACATTCTATAATTCCCCCCAAAAAATTATAAAATCTGAAGAAGTTTTTTTGTAGAGAATTTTCTAATAAATTTAATATATTTAAAACTATTATGAGATGTTACGAGAATTTTTTTTCATTGGAGTAATTTTATAATTTATACCGAATTAATCACGCATAGAATTACGATCAGTTATATGACATTTAAAATTGTTACATTTTACTTACGACTTTTGCGCTACTTTCGCGAAAATCGCCAGAGAACATGGCTTTCATTACGTCGCATCGGGCAGTGAGAATCGCTTTGTGGGCCGGTACGCTGCCATCATCTAGCTCAAACATCACATCAGCGAAGAGACCTAAGTGTATCACATTTCTTAGTTAGTCAAAAGCTAGCATCATTTCACTTTTTTAATCGCAAACGGTACCCACCTTGCTCCAAGCAGATATCTTCCAGTCGTTGTCTAACCACTTGCTTGTACCGGTTATTGAGATCGCTATTGACGAACTGCTCCCGCGTCTGTATGCTACCGAGCACCATGAGTAATTGCGGCAACTCGAGGAATTCGGCCGCTTGCCTGATCTCCTGCGGGCAAGAGCAACCGAGACATCATGCCGATGCACCATCGCGACTTCCACTGACGTAGAATGATCGATCAGAAAAAAAAGACACGAGATATTTGATCGCTTCCGGATCGCTAGGACCTATCCTACTAGGCAATGATTCTAGAATGTGAGAACAACTGGAAGCGTATCCATGCACGGCACCCCCTCGGCCGAAGTCGACTGTGCGTCGATTCCTTGAGGATCCCCCCGCTCGTGATGATCGCACGATACTACGGAAGCGATGATTCGCTATAAGCTTAATGTGAGCATGGCCTATCAGCTAAACGTTAAAGATCGGTTAAATTATGCCGATCGTCAAATTATTCGATATCAAATAATTAGATAAAAGACAGTTAAACGTGTCTTCAAGGTATACGTAAACCATTTTAACGAACTCAGCTTTCTAATATTTATCTGTCTGATTAACTTTTGTCTCAATTGCTCAATTGAAAGATTAATTTTTAGTCACGTTTGCCTCGTAATTAGTCGTAATAGAAAGGCACATGCTCGTATGATGATATGATCACGCAATTAAATCTTCAAACGTCGAAACAGATCAGCTAGATGAGGCTACTATGTGCGTGCGTGCGTGCGCATGTAAACGTGTACGTATGTATTAATGCGACTGCCAAATTTCCAAACGCATTTCGCTTTGTACTAACCAGTAGAAGCCCGATAGGAGCTGTCTGAAAGAATAGAGCCGCGTTAGTTACTTTGTATATTCTGCAACAGTTGCGAGTTTAGCTCACGCTCTTAAGAGATCATACAAGTACACACCGTGTCTCTTATCAGATGTGATATACGTCGGTAGCATTCGCGGTTTCTCGGTCGTGTTTTCTCAAATTGTATAAGTTACGTAACGTAAACATTGTTACAAAATTATACCTATGATATTAAGACGGCAGAACTTGCGCAACCGCAAAGGAAGTTTATACTTTAAGTTGTAAACCTCCGAGAGATACATAACTCGCTCCTCGTTCGTTTTCTCTTTGCCCGGAGATTATACCGCGCCTATTTCCGTTCGCTTATTCATACGCGTTATTTTCGCGGCAGATAAACAAAGAGGGTGTCTTCTTACATTCTCGAATATACCTTTTCTCTTATGATAATTTCTACCGACCCAACGTACTTGTAGATCGTGATACCGTTTGTCCAAGCTGCCCGTGTAAATGAATTGCAAGCACTGTTGCATCGCCTGCGGCGTGATCAACTTCGACAGCGTGATCACAGTCATGGGCTGCTGCATACCGTTCGCATTCTCAGTCTGCAAAATGTTCGATGATATAATTAAGCACCCGGGACGATAACGAGTCCTTGTGTGACAATGTTATGGATATACCAAGGATTTCAGTCGCAATAAGGGAAACAATAAACATTTTTTTTAAAACTTGTTAAAATATTTATATTATTCCTTCGTTGCCTCACCTCTGGGGAGTCAAATTACCCATGATTGAAAATGATCCTCTTCAAACAGCTGCCATACATATACTAAATTGATGTCCCTTACTTTAATACTGACCAATACTGTGAAAGACAATAATTAATTATTTATTCTAAGTATTAACATTATTGTTGTATGAGTTTTTAAGCTTTCGACAAACGTCTCACGAAGCCTCATTATATACTCGTAATATATAGCCTGAAATTTGAATCATGGGTCTATTTGACCCCACAGTTGTAGTGACAACGAATGGTCTTAAAGCCAACTTTCGAGAATCTTTAGTGAATGTTTTTAAAAATAATACGTCAACCATGAATTGAGCAATGCAAAGTTTAACTTTTTATTGTAAAAATTATTTTCATAATTTAATCGTTTTTCTTTGCCAAAATTTAGGGAAGGGGGCAAGTACCCTCCTTGCTCCCCTTTTTACATACGCCCATGAACAATGGGCAAATATATGCACATGAACGATGTCAAAATCTCTCACCATACATATACGAATATTTTGGAAGGCAGGATGATTCAGCTCCCTCGTCGCGCTGTTACTTTTCCTCTGATTATCCATCGTCGGCAGTACTTGAAAACTCGATCGTCGCTTAAGTTGCTCCCAGACTCTGCAAGGTACGTAACTTATTTGTGCAGAGTTTATCAGGGCACAACAAAATATACAAATTCTTTCTTAAAAAATATTGCAAACTCTGTTCCGTCGCTACGTAAATAAAGTCGAATGTGCCGATATTTAAAGACCGTGCAAAGGCTAAGGGGGGACTGCATCTAACTCTTTATTTGGCAATAATCATCCTTAAGCTATGCCAGCGTATTGGATATACTTAATGCATGATTGAAGCGTTTCAATTGCATGCCCTTCTGTTAGTATCAAGCTTAAGCGACATTCAACTTATGTTAATGCATGTTAGTAAATAAGCAACACCCGTTGCAGGATTAGACATGTTCCATCACGTGTTAATTGCGGCTTGCCAAATAAAGGGTTAATCGATGCAGGAGTAAACATACGAGGAAGGATTAACTCACTTTGCGGGTTTGCTTTGATCGATACGAATTAGGCACTCGGTATCGTCGTTGAAGTCACCGACGGTGGCCTCGCCGAAAGTGCTCACCTTGACGAGACAATAAGGGAAACATGTGTTATTGTGTTATCCTGTTACTACCTCCGAACCTGATAGAGCTGGCATATACCATGCTGGACTCGCTGGAGCTGCGCGGCGTTAATTCCTGAGCGAGTTCCATCGAGAAGAGCCGGTGAAACGCCGGCGAAGCGGCGGCGAGCAAGCACCGATGAACCGAGAACGTGCAGTTACTCGCTATCAGGGTAACGTCCGTGTGAACCGGCCTCGTCCACAGGCTCTTCATGTTCTCTTCATAGGTACTTGCAGCCAAGCATACCTTCGGCGGTACAGGTTTTGGTGGACAGAATGGTGCCTGTCAAGTTAAATCATCATACCTTAATTATTATCAACAGTTCAACACCTGCGAAAAAATTCAATAGGAACCTACCAACGCTAACTTTACTAGTATAACATCAATATTACAATTTTACACATGTCGTATGTAACATTGTTATATTGTTAAGTGTAAAATTATAACGTTGATGTGTGTTAAGTTATTGTAGTTGCTGTTTACTGCAAGGCGATTCAAGCGTCATTCCAATATTGTATGTTTCAGCTTGTTTTTTTAACCACGTGATCTTAATTTTATATTTATTCAGAAACAACATTAAAAATTATGAGAACGGAAGCTTTTTTTTATTTTTCTACATATTTATTTCTACAAAGACAAGTTTGTCGTAAAATCGTTTGTATGTATCATTTGTTACCTGTAACAAAGGTCTTTGCACTCTTTTCAAGTTCGTCATCCAGAAACGCTGCTGACGACGTGCGATTAGAGCGGCACGTATCGAATTTTCGAACACCTCGTTCACGCCATAATAAGTGAAAACGCTTGTCTCGTAATAGCACACACCGAGTTCTCGCGCCACCGCTCGTGCCTGATCCGGCATAACCAGATCGCTTTTCCTCGTAGCCCTGCAAATAATTGCGACCACCCTCTCGGAAAGAATTTCGAAATAACGAAACAAAGAATATTCTTGACGCACTTAATCTTATTACAACTTTATGTGTGCAGTATAAAATAATATAAAATTGAATCGCAATATCTATATTAAATCAAATTCTAATTTTCTTTCCTCGAGTTAAATATAAAACTGATTTATTGTCTTGAAATAAGACATGTATAAATTTAAGTATTTTTTTATTCTTACAATAAATCTTTACGATTTTATAGCATACAACGCTAATGCCATAATATTTGATACAAAAAGATCACTTTATTCTAGTTTTAAGAATTTTCCATAAAGTAAAATATTCCTCCGTTAACAATAAATATCATTACTCTTATATCGATCTTATTTTATAATAGATCGAAAAATAATAGCATTGGATTTGGAAATCTTTTCTATAGGTAAGTATATATGTTTTAAATGTAATCTTCGTTGAAACGTATCTCGTAATATGTTAATAATAAAGAAAGGTAAAACTGAAATGACAAGATAAAGTCATTCCGACTGTTGTAAAAAGAAGCTAAAAGTCACGAGAAGAACTTTCAGGCTTATTCCCAAGGGAGTAATCGCCGTGTCAAGGTTCGGTTAATTTTGACTTGACCCGATTACTCAACTATCGGGAATTTTAAGCTTTTTAATCGATCACCCAGCGCCGTTATAAAATTCATATGCCGCGCGATACCGCATAAGCTGATCGTAATGAATATTTTTTTGTCGGTAAAAGATTTCGAGGAAGCTTACGGAGACGCGTTGAAAAATCAATACTTCGACACACTTCGGTAAACTGACCACCGTTGAAGAAGCACCGATGCGAGTGAATGAATTTCACACCAAGCTAAAAAAAAATCTGATAGTCGAACACGAATTTCCTTCGTCGCCAAAAAAAGACGCGATCGATTAAAATAACTAAACAAATTTAGCTAACTTTTGGAATAATATTTTTATACGCTTTATAGAAAAATCACCTTTATTAAAATTTATTTTGTGAAAATAAATTAACAAATATGTGAAAAAATTAATCCAAGATGTAATGTTTTATATTATACAAGTGTTCAAAGAGAAATAGAAATTATAAAATTAAAAAATTTTTTTAACTTGAGAAAACGTTTAAATTTCAAAATTTCGAAAAAAATTAATGCTTTGAGTTTACGGAATTTAATTTCACAAAATGTTTTTCGTTAAATTCTTTCAATTTTTCTATTTTTATTCTACAAGTTAATTTCTTAAAGAAGTAATTTACCTTACAAAAGGACTGCGATCGCGAAAGTAACTGAGATAAGTTTCGTCCCGATACATATATCGCAGATCGTTTTTGCATCCGACCAAGAGAACCGGTGTCTGCGGGCAGAACCTCCTTATCTCGGGATACCACATCACCTTGCAGTTTCGCAAGGAAACGGGGTTGGTTATGGAGAAACATAGTAACACGACGTCAGACCTAGTAAAACCTTTTTAATTAATATCGATTGTGTAAAAATTTCGTTTGGCGGGGATGCCTTACCTGCCATATGCGAAACGCCGATCCTTCTCGTGATCGCCAAATGTGTCCCAGAGACGTAGCGACACGTTTACATTGTCTACTACCTCCCAAGATCGCTCCAATACCTGGCATATATCACACTGTGTTATCTAATACTGCTACATATTTTTAGAAAAATTAATAATGATGATAATATTTAACTTGATAATAATGAGCATGCTTCCATCTTAACAAAAATCGAAATACAAAAAATTAAATTTACTTCTGAATCCATTTTTTATTGTAAAATCACTTCATAATTATGATCCCATTTAATGTTACATAAATTTTAAATTTATTACTATGATTATTATACATAGAATGAGTTTATTGATATATTTCCAAAATTTGTAATATGTTTAAAAAATAGAATACTCAAACTAGTTGCTAGAATGTCAAAACTTTCCGCTGCGTTGTTCATAATCTACATAATTATTTTAATGACTCACCAAAATTATTTTCACACAAATCTATATCTATAGCTAAATTTTTAGATACCTTAACTAAACCGTTTTCTTCCATGCACATATTTCGATTTAATTTTAATCAATAATTGCACGAAATGTGTTTTCAAGTTAAAAGAAATTAAATAGGAAGGAATCGTAATCAGGCGTAGACAGACTCACATCCTTGTAGATCCGATATTGGTCGATAGCCCAGACCGTGGGCACGTGAGTAGTCAGGAGTTGTGACAGTGACACGTGCTTGTTGCAGGCCCTGGCGCAGATCAGTCTGGTCTTTCCGACTGCCGTGTCACCCACGACCACGCACTTGACCAGTTCCTGGTGCGGTTGCTCATTGTCCATCACCGGCAGTCTCCCCTGCTCATACAATATGCCCTCTCACCTGCCAGATCGCTCGAGTTCTCAACCGCTGTCTCCGTCACTGATGATGCTACCGTTGTCGTTTCCGTAGCCACCAAATGCGTGCACCACATCCGATAATCGGACTGGAACACGACGTCCTCGACCTTGTCGTTGATGAGATAAGCGCTAAAACTAAACATATAAAAACAATGCGTCAGCCATCGAAAAGAATTGGTTTTGTTGAAATATCTAAAAATTTAGCTATAAAAAAGTATAGATCGTCGTGCACTCCTTTATAGAAATCTAATACTGTCCAATTTGATACTAATCAATTTATTACAGAAAGATAGTAATTAATTATTCACTCGGTTTAAAAGTTATTTAGTACTAAAACTACAGAACAATAGTACTTTGAATGCTTAAAATAATTAATTACTGTCTTTCAATATTGACTAGTATTAAATTATTGTAAAAAAAAGAACAATTTTAATTAAATTAAAAATATTTAGCTATATATAGATTTGAAAATAACGTTGAACTGTTAAAATAATTATGTAGGACGCTTAAACCTATTATTCGAATATCCAAATTTTTTTGGAGCATTGCTCATCATGCTTAAGATTCCTACAAAAATTTAATACTAGTCAATATATAAAAACATTGATTAATATTAATATTTTAAATATTAAAAGCACTATTATGAAGTTTTTTCAATATAATAAATAAATAAGTAATTAAAATTACAGTTTAACAATTGTTTTACCTTCGAACAATCGAGCGATTTTATATTTATTTGTAATTTTAAAATTACTCTAATAAAAATAAACTAAAAACCGATAAGTTCCAATAAGGCTATACATTTTATTTTTAGTTATTTAACTTATTAATTAATTAATATCTTTCAGTAATAAATTGACTAATATCAAATTAGATCAGTATTAGATTTCTGTAAGAGAGTGCGCGACGAACGCGATGTTCATCCACTTTACAGCTTTTTTCCACTCTCGAGAGTGGTTCCCGATAATGTCTCAATATCCTATAATGTATCTAGAACTACGCTCGCTCTTCGTAAGCGAAGTCACAATAAAGCTCTTAAGTGGACACTTAGCCTTAGCACAAGGACACATAGATGTGTTATACCGTTTCGATGGTTGTTCGTTGCATAATATCGTGGCTTTAAGTATATAAATATGCACACATTAAATAATCTGTTACCTTTCTGATTATGAATTATTTAGCGATTTATAGCTTCATATACCTCGATACAAGGTCTATTCAATTTTTGACGCCAAGTATGAACTGTTTATGTACACATAATCAATCACAATTATGAGTAAAATTTAATTAATTGCTTGAAAAATAATCAGGTATAAACGTTTGTCTTAATATTCGATTAATCGGAGTGTATAACTCGTGTATGACCGAGAACGTCCCTTCAAACTTAATATCTTCGATCACGCCTTGGGACAATTAAAGATACGGAAAGCGGGACGGAAATCATATCGTGTCGAAAATAATCTACGACATGAAGCCATCATCTATTACGTTAAATTAAAACGATAATTTAACAAATTGCGAGGATGGCATGATTGCACATGATATTCGCAAAAAAAATTAATTTGATAATTCGCAAAAAAACATAGTTGTGTTAAACGTTTTATATTATAGGTGTATGTTAGACACGTCGGAGGAAAAGATAAGAATCTGAAACGTTTAGTCACTCCAAATATGTACTCATACGTGTGTATACGTGGAAGCATGATTTGACCCTTGAAAAAGGTTTTCTTCTATATTTAGAACCGAAGCTTCGAGATCTCAATCTCGATTTCCATTCGCCTTAACCCTGAACGAACGCGTAGATATATGTACACATCACACTCCTCTGACTAATTCATTCTCAAAATCCTCACCGCGCTCGGTGAACTTCATTCTCGGCGACCGCACGCTAATTAAATCTCCTTCTATGAATTTCCATTCAACATCTCGGTTTTGCCTTTGTAGCTCTAATTTCGGTACAAAGGAAATTATACGTTCATCGTTACATTCGATCTTACACAGATCTATACAGATCTTATGCAGATGAATTTATCAGAACACGATGCAGCATGTCTAAAGATGTTTAAAAACTTCCATAGTCAATGTTATATATATACGTATACACTTAAATATTCATTAACGTTAAAGTCATGTCTGTGAATTTAATATTAAATGTTATTCGATTTTCCTAATATTAAAGAACGTGCCAATTCGCGATTACCGATAAATTCAATTTTATCTATTTTCTACGAAAGTCTACATTAACCAAGTACAGTGAGTGCAAAAAATATTCATACAGAGAAAATATCTTTTTAAAACAACCTTATTTTTGGAAAGTACATATTAATCAATAAATTTTTAACAAAGGACAAAATAGATTATATATTTCTCAAAATTATTTTATCCAAAAAGGTATATGACAATTAACATATATATATATTAATAATAAAGATATATTATTTTAATAATATGTTGAAGGAACATGTACCACAACACTATAGATACGTTTAGCGCAAGTCAAACAATTAAAATTATTTCGTTAGTTTAATACATAACGATAAAATAATCATAAACATTTCAGTCTCAATACATCTTCAGTACGTCTCTCTCCCCCTCCTTCTCTCTCTTTCATAGATCAAAAACAAATTTATTTTAAAATTTAATTTTTATTTACTTATTTTCTAACACAGTCACTATACTCCTTCTATTTATTATTTTGAATTATTAAGCCACTTTGTTAACCTCATTTATTTTAATAATACGTATTTATTTTAATAATATGTTATTATCTTAGTCCTTAGTATATATTGAGTTATTCATGTCCTGCACATTTCTTTTCTTTGAAATATTAAAGTCAAATAATTGATCATTTAATATTTATACACAATTTTTTTAAATATGCAACTTTAGATATGATTATTTTCACAAAGCTCTTTAGTTTATATTAGGACAAAACGTATTCATTATTATTAATAAATTGTCAATTAATGTTTATTTTTTTTACAATAAGATTTCTTTTTTAATTTTTCCTTATACAAATATTTTGCATTTACACTGTATATTTTATATTATATATAAATCAGTATTATAAATTCAATTAGGTAAGTCTTTTATGCATTTTTTATTAATATAGAATGCGAATTTAGAAAATATATGTATAATTTAGAGAGTTGCAATCATGAATTCAAATTCTTTCACAATATTTTCCTTCAAAAAAAGAGTAAAAGCTCGAGTCTGTAAGTATATAGTAATATAGTTTAAAAAATTCTCAAAATTCATGAGAATACAATTTCCTAAATTGATAAATACCGTTAAAAATAAAGTGAATATAATCCCGGCTTTGTAAATAATTAAAGTCAAACTCCATTCTTCTTGTCAACTATCTAAAGTCCATTCGATTAGAATAACTGCAGATTTAGTCTCAAGCGAAATGAGTAAAAGCGCTACGTAATATAAAGAAAACTTGAATTACTTTACTCGCGATTTTCATGTCAAACGCATCTCAAGGCAACATTCGCTCCATGCGGCGGGTGTTATAATAATGTTATAATATCCGCTTGTTATGATAATATTATGCGTCTAGAGGAAACATGTCGATAATACCAGGTGACAACTACTCAAGATATGCAAAATGTAATATTCACTGAGTCACGATGCGAAACTCGTCGCTCAATAGTGCGCCTGTTTCGCTGACGTTTTCCGGGAAGTGTCTTTGGACGAGACCTACTTTCATGAAATGGAATTTGTGGCAAGTGTCCGTTCTCCATTCATTCAGCGAATCATGCATGTTGCGATTAAAAATGAATTGGAAATGGAATATGTATAATCCGCCCGTTCCGTGTCAAAGTAATCGCATCGATAAACCGTTTCATATATAAAATTATTGATCAAAAAAGGTGGTGGATAATTAGTTACAATCTGGCTTTTCGCATGTCAATCTAACTTCGAACTTTTAGATATCATACAATGCGCAAATATTACCGATTCCTTTATCTTACCGGACATTAACACTATTATCGTGTCGATAAATAAATCGAATGATCATCTACAGTTCTATTACAAATAAGAATTAAGTTACTGAAAATTGTTAGACTTATACATTTCACGCTGATATTTGTCGTCTGAATACTAATCGTTTGTTTCTGACTTATTTCTTTATATCTTTATTTCGATATTTATATATGGTATTTATATCGAGTTTTAACTAGTTCTCGCCTTTGAACCAAGAATCAGTTATAAATTTTTTGAACATTAATTTTATGTACTTTATTGTATTTGCGACATTGCTTATAATTCTTAATTTAGCTTGTTATTGAAATTTGTATCTTAATTTATTTGTGATTAAATTTATTTTGTGATTTAATTTATTTGCTTTTTACGTTTTCATACTTTTACTTGTTTCGTATTCACACACTGAGAAAAATATTAAAAATGAAAAAATCAGAAGATTCTGATTATATCAATCAGAATTCCAATTATCTCAAATAGAATTATAATTAATTTAACCAAAAAATTCTGATTCGTTCATTTTCAAACAAAATTCCAATTAATTCAACCAAACATTTTTCTCAGTACATGTTAGATAATTGAATCTTAGTTATATTTACTTTTATTTATGTATTGGTTAATATTTTCGTTGATAAAGACTTTATAAAGTCGAAACGTCTATATAATAAAAGATTAAAGTAGTTATCTATGTATTACCGGGATGCTGAAGCCGCCTGTATTATCGATAAAACTAGCGTTTTTGACATTTTCGTTCCTGTCTAATTTCTTTGAAATAGTTTCGCAGAATAAAAATTTCTTTTCCACGATTTAAATATTCAGGCTAATGTACCTGCTTCTGGTCTATTTTGTATCCTATTTCGAACTATTTCGAAGAAATTAGACAGGAACGAAAACGTCAAAAACGCTTTATTGATAATACAGGCGGGTCCAGTTTCACCTTACAATCTTTATTACTCTTTCTTGGCCATTTAAATTTTTTCCATACTTTGCGTATATCTAATGAGCTTGATTTTTTATTATTTTAAATCGAGCGAGATTTTATTACAGAATTT